TGAAATGTGATGGCTGAGGAATTGTGGGAGTTCACCCATCTTGAAATGTGACAACTGAGGAATTGTGGGACTTGAAGTTCACCCATCTTGAAATGTGATGGCTGAGGAATTGTGGGAGTTCACCCATCTTGAAATGTGACAACTGAGGAATTGTGGGACTTGAAGTTCAATCATCTTGAAATGTGATGACTGAGGAATTGTGGGACTTGAAGTTCACCCATCTTGAAATGTGATGGCTGAGGAATTGTGGGAGTTCACCCATCTTGAAATGTGACAACTGAGGAATTGTGGGACTTGAAGTTCAATCATCTTGAAATGTGATGACTGAGGAATTGTGGGAGTTGAAGTCCACAAACTTAAGAGTTGCCAAGGTTGGAGATCCCCGCTCTAAAGGATTAGATAATCAATCAAGAACCGGTCGTGTGATCTGATAGACTCCCTGGATAACTATGGATTCCAAGAACTAATTTCAGCGGGTTTAGAATTTCTTTTCATCTTTGGCGGAGAAAGGGAGAAGATAAACTCAAGGTCCTTACCTCATCATCCTTGTACCACGAGAGGTTCTCGGCAGTCAGGACGAACCAATATTCTTTGGCGCCGCCTTTCATGATGCCAATGTTGTTGATCGTGAGCCAGCCCTTGCGGATCACCTGGGGTCACCAAAACACACCAGAGTCATGAATGCCAGCCAAGGATCCAGACAACGACAAACACACGTGCACCACATCAAACACAACAAGCGGCAGAATTGGTTGAGAAGCTGCTTCGTGGAGCACAACTCAAGCCAACGATTTGAGATTAGTGATGTAAAGTCTTGAGGGAGGGGGGAGATGGAAATCTGGAAAAACTTTAAGGGAAATCACATTTCTTCCCCCCCACCCAGGCCGTTTTGCCACCCTCTCCACCCCACAAGTCTAACAAGGGAATCCTTTTGCAAAACTATGCAATGCATGCATCCGTATTGGCATAGTTAGGATTATTGATTAAGCAGGGAAAGGAAGAGAGGAGAAACGAAGGCATTAATAAGCATGTGACAACTAAGCAGGAACAGCGTTGGGAAATGAAACCAATAGAGTTCCCCTCTGTTGTGTTTGCGCTGTGTGAGCCTATCCAGCGTCCTCACAGTGGTGCCCTTGACATGTTCACATGCCATGAAACTGAGATCGGGACCTTTGAAAATCAGGTTCTCCACCTCTCTGAAGAATGACCAGTTGGGTTGACCTCTTTCCACAACCTCCCCTGGAAAAGGGACAAACTCAAGAAGGCACCACATTCCCAAGATGTTGGCCTTCAAAAGGTTCAACTGCTAGGAGCTCCAGAAAAGATGGTTATGGACCATGATCACTGGAGGAGAGTAACAATTGTCTACCGAATCTCCAGAACATCACATTGGAGGAACCCTACTGAAGAGGCCCCATCTCAAGCTACTAAAGGTTCATATTTACTGAAGGGGGTGCTGCAGGGAGGTCCCATTGACATACAGATCTTTGCATCTGCTCCTATCCTGTCAAATTGCCTACTAAGACTGTATTACTATTATTCTTCTCTTCCTTCCTAGTATCTTATCTCTCCCCACTTATGACTATAACCATGTTGCTTCTATCTTTACCATTTATATTGTTTTATTTGTTTCCTAGTATGATTTGATTGCTTGTTTAGTAACCTATGACTATCACTAAGTGTTGTATCTTATGATTCTTGATGAATGTATTCTATTTTATTTTTCTTTACGTACAACTGAGAGNGACCACATTAAGGATGAAGAAACAATGGAGAACTTAGTTGTTGCAATCCCTATTCTCCATTTAACATTTTTATTGAGTTACAAGATAGGATAAGATTCAAAATTTACATCCAGTTTCCTTAAGTTATACCCATATCTATATATAGAGTCGGAACCCTGTCCAGGGTCCTCCACATCCTCCAGAGCCAACTCATAGGGCCCCTCACTGTCGGGGTCTGGTGGCAGCTCCAATGGCTCCTGCTGGGCCACAACACTTTTGTATTTTGAATCTTATTCTATCTTATAACTCAATAAAAATGTTAAATGGAGAATAGGGATTGCAACAACTAAGTTCTCCATTGTTTCTTCATCCTTAATGTGGTCATGAGGTAGATCTTAACCTGGTTCCTAATCAATGATCATTACATTGTTTTAATATTCACCCCTCCATTTCTTTCTCCTGGTAGATCACATTGCTTCTACTGATGGGCTTTTATCAAAAGAAGGATCATTGCCAAAGCTGCAAAGAAGACAATGATGTCTTGGATTTTGGCATGAGCTGGACTCTGGACCATCCCAGCAGGTTCTCTGAAAGTGGAGTTTCTTCAACTGACAGAAGTACAAGTGATAAAGGCGGACCTCTCAGCATTTCTATTGTCTCTTTCTTGCCCTACAAAACGTGAAGATTCCAGATCTAATATTGTGTAAGAGGCATTTGTGTAGAAATAAGAAGAAGAAAAATCTCATTTGGTGTCTTTCTTAAGATCTAAGATTGAGTCAACATAATCCCTAAATTCCCATGGATATCGGCAACCAGACTCTAGTTACTGAGTTTGTTTTGCTGGGTTTCTCCAACATCACAGATGGCCAGGTCTATCTCATCCTGCTGTTCCTCACCATCTATTTGATCACCATTCTGGGTAACTTCATGATCATCACTGTCATCCTGGTGGACTCCCATCTTCACAGTCCTATGTATTTTTTCCTCAGCCACTTATCCTGCTTGGATGTCTGCTACTCAACTGTCACCGTGCCCAAGATCCTTTCAAATTTCCTTCTCCAAAGACACAACATATCCTACAACCATTGCTTGACCCAGATGTTCTTCTTGATAGGCTTCACAAGCTCAGAATGCTGGTTGCTGGCCATCATGGCTTACGACCGCTATGCTGCCATCTGTCAGCCTTTGCACTACTCACACCTCATGAGTCCACGTGTTTGTGTGATATCAGCCATTATTGCCTGGATCGGGGGCTTCCTGGATGCAACAGTTCACACAGCCTTGGCTTCCAACTTCCATTTCTGTGGACATAATCAGATCTACCACATCTTCTGTGATCTACCTCCTCTGCTGAAAATCACTTGTGGTGAAAAATTTGTCAGTGAGATAACAATGCACATAGCCACGGTGTTTGTGGGATTGGGTCCCTTCCTTTTTGTAGTAATCTCCTACTTCTACATCCTTGCATCCATCCTGCGTATCCGTTCCAACACAGGGAGGCACAAAGCTTTTTCTACTTGTATTTCTCATGTGATGGTGGTCCTTCTTTATTTTGGGAATGGTTTCATTAACTATAACCAGCCCAGTGCTGGCTACTCCCTGGAGACCGACACCTTGATTTCTACTATGTATTGCATTGTCACCCCCATGATGAACCCCCTGATCTACAGCCTACGCAACAAGGAGGTGAAGGGGGCCCTGAGGAAGATCCTGGAAAGGAGAATATAGAATTCTTCTCAAATGTTGTAAAGACAACCTTGAAGCTCTTCCTGGAACATCAAGAGACCAAGTCTTGTTTTTCCTGACTATACTCAGAACAGAAAAGACACAAGAAATGTGTCTTAACAAAGGGTTTGGTCGATTTTCACAATTAGTAGCATTCAGACTCACCGCCTTCCTCCAGGTTTACTACAAACGGAAATGACTTGTCCTCTGCAACACCTTAACCAGTTAAAAGCTAGCAGAAACATTGACAGAAGTAATGAAGTTAGTTAGTGTTTACCTCATTTTGCGTTTGTTTGTTTGTTTGTTGAGTTTAATGTACTTTGTGAACTCTTAGGGTTGTGAATCCAATTATCTTTGATTGTTCAGTATCCCAGGTATTCCTAACATTAAGAAGCTTAACAGTCAACTATTGGTCAGGTAAAAAGTTTTATAACTACATGTGAGAAGATCGTTTCAAATTTTAAAGCTGAAACTACCTTATTATATCTCAGCTCACACCACGCTTAGGCTAAAGGTGGTTTGTTTTATTTTAACGAAGATCAAAAATGTTATAATAGTACAACGTTAGAAATATGGTAATAACTGAAAAATGAATAAACAATTATTTTAATTAGTGTTGACTGCATTTTGTCCTTCCTTTTGCATCCTTTAGTCCACCATTCCTTTGATATGATGTAACTTTTGTCCCATGGCAAATTGTCCCGTGGCGAATTGACTGTGCCGAGTTCTCCTAGGCCCCCTCTGCTCAGGGTGGGACATCAAATGTTCAAGAAGTGCCCGGAAGATCCCATTCACCTGCCCTTCGGATGTGTTGGGTGCCAACATCTGCTGGCCAGGATGGAAGTGGAGGGCCTAGGGAGAGAAAGAAGAAGCGAAGGAAGAGCCTCTACCAAGGCAACGATCAGATAAGCAGGGCTTCAGCCTAGACCAAGGAGGAGTGAGAAAACATCTCAAATAAGCCCCTCCCTAGTTCACCAGAAGATAAAGTGGGGGAGAAGGAAGTATCTTCAGACCAACCAGATCCTGTTCCTAGATCACAATAATAGTAATCCTGACCTACCTGGCAATAGCCTTGATTTACCTTGAAGAGTTGGCACTGATGGGAATCGAACTCCTGTCGTCTTGGATTTTATGTTTTATTATTTATTCACTAATCAAACATATACAGTTGGATATCTCAGGTAACTTTGGGTGTTGGTGCACCAGAGGGAGTAATGGAACAGCTGGGAGAAATGGTCCCTCAGATAGCCTAAAGCCATGCCATGAAAGGCTCTCTAGGTCAAAAGCAGAACCTTCAATGCACTCAACACTCAGGCCCTCCTCCCTTTCTCCTCCTCCTCCTCTTCCTCCTCCTCCTCCACCACTACCACCACCACTCTGTAAACCCCACTCTGTTCTAGCACTGATGATGTAACCTTGTTGGGTCATAAAATGTCTGGGGAAAACAGCCAAGCTCAGAAAGCACCAAGGATCCCACAATCCCCCTCTCCACAAACCCCACTCCCTTCTAGCACTGGTGATGTCACCTAGTTGGGTCATGAAATGTCTTCAAGAAAACAACCAAGCTCAGGGAGTACTAAGGACCCCCCATCCTCCTCCTCCTTGTCGTCCTCCTCTTCTTGCTCTTCCTCCTTCTCCTCCCCACAAACTCCCCCCTCTTCTAGCACTGATGATGGTGGTAGTTGGGTCATGAAATGTCTGGAAAAACACAGTCAAGCTCAGAAAACAACAAGGATCCCNCACATATGTGCGAGGGGAACTTTTACCTTTAGTATTTTTTTAAAATTGTACTGTGTGCATAAACATCATTACAACTTCCCAGCACCCAGGTGATCATGACTGATCTCAGAAGCTAAACAGAAGTAACTCAAATTGGTATATTGGTGAGGAAACAATTTAAAATATCACGGGCTGCAAGCCAGGCTGAAAAGTTAGCAATGATATTGTAAGAGGGAATTTTGAATTGGAAAGCAAGATGGCAGGAGGAAATTTTGTACATTGCCCAGATACCTACTTCTTATTGAACAAAATGGAATAAATATTTAACATGTAGTATTAGATATTGGTAGGGTCCCTGGTGCTCTGATTAGCTGGTTTTCTTGTAGATGTTTGTTTACTAAACTAGGTAATAGACAAACAAGCTAATAGCAAACAACACCCTAATGAAGGAGCCACCAAGAACACTCACAGCAACATGACAG